CTAAAAATTCAACATGGAAGGCAGTCAAATGATTTTCCGAAATGTATTGCGCTGTTTAACTTCACAGTTATCTTCAAAAAATCATTCGACTGCCTTCCCGGTTGAAATTTTAGCTAAAATTTGGTATGAGTTAACTAGACTTAATGAAGAAGATGTTCAAAAAATTTCTTCAAAAAATTCCACCGGGAACCGCCCCAATTGGCGACGTCCGGGCAGAACCTCCTATATAAGGGGCTAATTGAACACTTTAAGTCATTTCAGGGGCCTATTTGACCCTTTATCCTAAATTTTAATTTGTTAATATTTTAGGAAAAATCTCTAGAAAATTTGTAACATCGTACTCAGGTATATTTACTTTTTAGTAAATCATGTAATAAACATTGAAGAATGATTTATGAATTTACGAGGTTGTAATTTTTTGTTAGTTCTTTTACGTGAATGGTAAATTGCATGTGGGACCCTCATCGGGAACGGGGACCACCCGATACTTCTGGGACCACGTATTATATTCATCTTGGTCTAGATAATATGTATATGGTGGTAGATATTCTAGTTGGACCATGGAGAGGGAATAGGGTTGACCGGTTGGTCAAACGAGACCATAATTTATCAGATTATAGCTTGAAATGAATTTCATAGACTTCTAAATTAAAGTTGGGGAATGTATTTTCATTCTAAAGGCCCATAGTTATTGGGAACAAAAGGTATATTTTATTTGGCCCGATAAAATAAAAGATAATTAAAACAGTCTGAGAAATACAACTTTCGGGGTCGATTGTACATATCGGGACATATTGGGATGACCTCCCACATGAGTGGGTGCCACCCCACGTTTTTTAGTCTCAATGGAGACTTGAAGTGGTCGCACAACATGTTGAGGACGGATTAAGTTGATAGAAATGGGATCAATTGGGGTGTGGACTTCACTCCCACACATTATTGTCATGTAAGACCAAGAAGAGTTCTCCCTACTTATTTCCTCATCATTGTACTCGACCAAACCATCAAAGAAGGGAAAAAGGAGCTCTCAAACCATTCTCCATTGCTGCAATTCGAGCTCAAGCAAAGGTGGTTCAAGAAGAAAAATTAACGAAGGAAAAAGTTAGGAAAAGTGTGAAAGATTAAGGTAATGACCTTATAACAACTTTTCCTCTACTTTTTATGTAGCATATGACTTGTACATCATATGAAGTACCCCTAGGATTTTTTTACATGTTTAGAAGTGGAGAATGAGGGGCTGGAAGGAGGTTCAAAGTCCAAGAACGGAATTAGAAACCAAAGTGACCGTTCGCTGGAAAATAACCTTTTAGAGGTTATGTGTATTGATATGGGTTTTGTGATGATAAAACCTTTCACGGAGTTGAAAGAGTTGCCGAGTTGTCACGGAGTTGAAAGAGTTGCTGGAGTTGTCACCAGAGTTCAACAAAGTTCGTCGGAGTATTGCCGGAGTTCAACCGAGAAGGGTAGAACTTCATAACGCTCATTCGAGGTGAGTGGACGGCTTAATGTCTTGTAACTCTTGGGTTAATTATGAGATTACTTAAGTAAATGTTATATGTGTTCATAATGATGTTTAAAAGAGTTTAAACATGTGATTAGCCAAAGTGATTAGGCTTATATGAATTATGAAATGAACTATTGAGATATGCATGAAATATGATATGAAAATGTTTATAAAAACATATGTGATGTTTTGAAGGAAAAAAAGGGCGTAAAATGGATGTCAACGAAGTGTTGACCGGTTTCCCAGCAGGCAACTGGCTCCGGTTATGGGTAGGACCAACGTCGGTTTGGGTACGGGGTGCCCGGTTCATAATAATAAATTATGAACCAGCTCCGGTCAGGTCTGAACCGGCGCGGGTTCGGTGTTGTTTTGCCCATATGTTGATTTTTAATGCATGGTTTGCATGGATGATTATGCTTAGGCCTTAAGACTTTGTTTAGTCTTGAGTACTGATTATGATCTAGATCTTATCTAGTATGATATGTGGTAGATCATAGGTCGGATGGAGTACACAAGGATCGGGTGTGTATCCTCAAAACTCAGTTATGCGGGGTAGAGTATCGAAGGATCTGGCGTGTATCCTCAAAACTTAGATATGTAGGGTGGAGTAGCCAAGGATTGGGCGTGTATCCTCAAAACTCATAGATTACAGATTAGTAATTCAGGATCGGGTGGTGTCCTTATGATAATTGATTTGGACCATGAGGAGTCTTATACACTCATATGTATATGGGTGGATTGGGATCGGATTTAAGTCAAGGACATTGACTACTACTATTTTCCCAAATAAACAATGACCTACGGGTCGGGTACTTCCAAGTGTATATATACTGATATATATATTTCATAACTTGGGGTGAAAGAAATATATGTGTATGTATCACCAAATGTCTGGGTCTTATACTTGAAACATTAGTTATGCTACATTCAGCCTACTGCTCGGTCGGTATTCACGTACCGACCCCTTCGGGGGGGCCACCATTTCAGGTTGAAGCTAGAAGTTGTTACCTGCACCTTTCAGACGAGTGCATATTCAGGAAGACGTGGTTCATGCTTATTTGTTATCCTTAAAACTACAGACACTTACTCATGAATATTTATTTTGTTATAAACTATTTTGGGCCTGCGAGCCCATGTTTTGGTCGGATGTGGCACATGACTCATTGTTGAATATTTCCTCTATTCAATGTGATGTTTTTACGTATGTTTACTTACTGGGTATGGTATGAACTATGTTCATGGATGTCTTGTATGATTAAGTAACGTTGACTTGCGAGTGACGTCACTTGGTCATACGGCGGTTGTACACGCGCTTGGATGTGGTCTGCAGCGTAACAAAATTCGAAATATAATTTGACATGGTTTTCTTTCGTACACACACACACATGTATGTATGAAATGTTTTCCGACCGGCCACCGAACCGGGTGAAAATGTGATGAAATGTTTTCAGAATTGAAAAAGGAAAACTGGAAATTGAGAACACAAAATTGGAGTTAATAATTAAAATCGAAAAGATAAAACAAAAAATTGGAGAATGGAAAATAGAAAAGAGAACTAGAAAATATCTCGTTATTAAACGGGCCCTTACGGCCTGTTTGGATTGAGTGTTGAGGAGTGTTAGTAATGGAAGTGTTAGTAAGTGTTGATGCTAACACTTGTTTGGGAGAAAAAACCAGAGGTGTTAAAAAGTGTTAGTAATGGTTAGGAAGTGTTAATAATAACCTTCCCAACACCTCAATTGTCCAATTTTTTAACACCCCGATTTGTAGTGTTTTGAGGTGTTGGACAATTATTACCCTTCTCATTTACCCGAAAAACATAAAATGCTTCGACATTTCACTTTGAATGTCCTTCCCACGGGTCTGATGATTTGTTTTTTCATCTCTTCTCTTTACTCGTTTCTTTTGCCTCAAGGTAAAATCATTAACACTTCCATTATTAACACTTCATTCATTTGACTCTCCCAAACAAGGTAAAATTATGTCTAACACTTACACTTCCCTTCCCTTCCGAGCCCTTACTAACACTTACTAACACTTCCATTACTAACACTTCCAAACACTTCATCCAAACAGGCCCTTATGACTCCTACTATGGTACTACGTATTTTAAAAATTTACACCATGTTTTACTCTTATTAATTAAAGGCAATTTTTATATTTTTTTAACTTTCTTTAAATAGTTTTAAGAGAGAATTACCTAAATAAGACTAAAAGAATGTAGAATTGCAAAAATAGGACATAATGTTTTAAGTTTCCTTAATAGGACTAATTATTTGTTTTTGGACCAAAATAACCTTCTTAATTCCTGCTGCATTGATTCGCTGGGTGCGATCAATCTCGCTTGCGATGGACGGATGTCTCTGCCCAGGTAAGTGTCTTCATCTTTTTCCTTTGCTCCTCCCTTAACTTCTTCTCCTTAACTTCTTCTCAAGCTCTCATGTTTTCTTCTTCTATAACTTTTCTATTTTCTTCTTCTTTTGGATTTCCAAATTTTTATTAATCCTGAATTTTATTTATTAATTTGGATTTTTGTATTTGAATTTTATTTATTAAGCAAAATGACACTTTTATAATATGAGAATGTCAAAATCATTGGTTATTTGAAAAAACTGTCATATTTCTGGAAGTATATTTATCAGGGTGACAATCTGAAAATGTCATTCTTATGGCATTTTATGGCATACGTGAGAATGCCATGTTTTGAAAAAAAATGTCACCTGCAAGGCAATACTATGGTAGTCTCACTTTGAAATTATAACATTTGTAATGCCACCTGTAAGGCAATACTATGACATAAAGTAACAGTTTTATGTCAATTTTGCTAAGGTGACAGTTTCAAAGAAGAAATTTCAAAAAGGAAAAATGTCATTTTCATGACATTTTTAAAACAAAAATGACATTTTCAGATTGTTATCCTCATAAATGTACTGCCACAAACATGTTTTTTTCAAATAACCAATAATTTTGACATTCTGAGATTAAAAGGTGTCATTTTCCTAATTAAATAAAATTTAAATCCAAAAAATCCAAATTAATAAAATAAAATTCAAATCAAAAAAAACCAAAGAAGAAGAGAACATAGAACCGGAAATTTGAAGAAGATTAGAAGAAGTAGAAGAAGAGGAAGAAGAAGAGAGGAAGAGGAATTTACCTATGGTTGACGGCAGAGCTGGAGTCCATGGGAGGAAGAGATGTGCAGAATTGGTGCCATTAATTGTAGTTGACTGGGAGAAAGCAGCGATGAAGGGGGCAGAGTAGTGATGAAGGCCAAGGGGCAGAGTAGCGATGAATTGCAGAAGAGAGAAATAGAGTTTAATTAAAGAAGGGCAAAACTGTAATCTGGAGTCATATTTGGGGAATAAAAAACTTAAAGTCCTATTTTGGAGTTTAATCCATGTTTTAGTCCTATTTAGATCAATTTCATTAGTTTTAAATGAATAAATAATTCGAAGTGGTGGGAGTACTCCATACCAAATGCGTCCGGACTCCGCAGTACTAATTTACAAATTACAATTGGTGAAAGCGTGAAACTTGATCCTTACATCTTCTTAATGATTAGTTTACGCTGTCCGTATGAAGATGGGTTTATTAGCTGTCTGAACGCTCGTTGACGGTTTCATTTGAACTTCGAGCTCTGTGTGTGATCGGTGATCCCATTCCTCTCTCTTCTTCTCCGATCTCCACACAGAGGCGGTTATGGCTTCCCTAGCTAATGCATCTGAAACCAAGCCTTACAAGTTCCTGATCTATGGCCGCACCGGCTGGATTGGCGGTCTCCTCGGCAAGCTCTGCGAGGCTCAGGGGATCGAGTACGTGTACGGGTCTGGGAGGTTGGAGAACCGGGCATCCTTGGAGTCCGACATCGCCTCTGTTAAACCCACCCACGTCTTCAACGCCGCCGGCGTCACCGGCCGCCCCAACGTTGACTGGTGCGAGTCCCACAAGGTTGAAACCATTCGGACCAATGTTGTAGGCACGCTGACGCTCGCTGACATCTGCAGGGAGAAAAGCCTGGTCCTCATCAATTACGCGACGGGGTGCATTTTCGAGTATGATTCAACCCACCCGCTTGGATCCGGCATCGGGTTCAAGGAGGAGGACACTCCTAATTTCATCGGATCATTCTATTCCAAAACCAAGGCTATGGTTCGTTTCTTATTTCTGTGCTCATTCTGTGTCTGTTCAACTGTTGTTATGCTCCATTTGCGTGCTGTGTATCAGTGTATACTAAGCTATTGAATCTCATGATCTGCTATTTAGAGCCATTGATCAGATCTTGAATTCATTTTTTACTGTGATCTCAGGCACAACTATAGTGTTCAATCTGCTTTTTGGCTGTAAGTTTTAATGCATCATAGTAAAATGGTACATGATCTTATCAGTTCCTCTAGTAGACTAGTATAAACTTACACAACCTCACATTAATTAATTGTTTATCTGCGAATGCGTGCAATAGAAACCTGCTAGCTATTATAGGATTAGGACTCAGAAGCACAATCACAAATCGAATGGGTATTATAGTGCTTATTAATCAAGGCCATGACATGTTTCTTCTTCATTTACCTACTCTTTATTAGTATACATGTATCTTTAAGCTCCAATCGCTGCTATGCATGTTAATCTATTAATTTGAGGATATGCTCCTTAGAGTAATTGATTGTATCTCGAGTGCTTTTGGAATGTGAACTAATAATTACTTATAGTGTTCAATCTGTGTGTCTCCATAGATGCTAATGAATTAAATCAACAGCTTTATATATATATCTGGACTTATATAACTGAGTTAAAGTGGCTCTTTTTGTTTAACTTGTATTTAATTTGCTATCTGACTATCTCGTTGATTTATTTGGGGAAAGCTGTTAGTTGGTTACTTTATAGAAACTGAGTGACAGATTTACTTAGGCATTGTCAGAGCTTCTTTGTACATGGACCATGGTTACTCTGATATTCCATCCTAGTTTATGGGTTTGTGTTGTTTCTGCTTGAAACAAAAAGTATCTCCTTGCATGCATGTGGATTAGTCACATTTGCCATTATGAATGTTTAATTTTATTAGGTGGAGGATCTGCTGAAGAACTATGAGAATGTGTGCACATTACGAGTCAGAATGCCCATCTCATCTGATTTATCCAACCCTCGCAACTTCATCACTAAGATCTCTCGCTATGACAAAGTAGTTGACATTCCGAATTCCATGACAATACTAGATGAACTCCTCCCTATATCAATTGAGATGGCCAAGAGAAACCTCACCGGCATCTGGAACTTCACCAACCCTGGAGTGGTCAGCCACAATGAGATTCTGGAGATGTACAGGGAATACATTGATCCAAACTTCACCTGGAAGAACTTCACCCTTGACGAGCAGGCAAAGGTTATTGTTGCTCCGCGAAGCAACAATGAGCTTGATGCTACCAAACTAAAGAAGGAATTTCCTGAGCTCTTGTCGATCAAGGAGTCCCTTATACAAAATGTGTTCAAGCCTAACCGTAAGACCCCTGTGGCTTGAACCAATTGTGGTTCGAGTTTTGTTTGGAGATTCTATATTCGCTATCTTTTCATGCCTGTGGACATCACAGGTTCTTTTTACCAAATGTAGCCTTTCAATCTTTCATAGCTTTTTGTCTGTTTTGAGTTTTTTATTTCTATTATTTCAGTATGAATAATTTGGGAATAACCCTTTCCGTGTATTAGTACTTGTTCAAAAGAATTAGACTTTTGTTCAAACATCAAGCGGCTTGTTTAATTTTTAGTTTCGTTCTGCATGCTGTTTATATTCCTACTTTCCTAGGTGAGTACGCTTCTATATGAAATTCAATTGGCATCATGGGGTTTGGCTGTTATTTGTTGTAGAAGGGGTATGTTGTAGCCGACTGGTATGAGTTATTGCTCAAAGTTGCGTTTCTTCTCATTATATATTACGGCTGATAATCCTTCTATCAATAAATTAACAAATTCCTTGGATTTAGGAAAAAAAAATATTTTTAAAATATATTTTGTTAATAAAATAGAGGGAAATTTATAAGTAAAAATATCTGAAATGGTCATCTACAGTAACTTCAGTCAATACAGCCAGACTGAACAATTCAGCGCTTATTACACAATTCAGCGCGCGAAAGCAAAAGTTACGTGTTTGGTGAAAAAATTGGCTGATAAGCCTGATAACCCGAAAAACAGTGTTGTCAAACGGCCTCTTAATGTACTGCTAAGAATTTAGTCATGTCTATTTTCGATGTCTAAAGTCTAGATGTCTAGTTAATGACTTTGAACAATTTGAATTGCCACATTATCAACAACTTTTTTTGTTAACTTGAAAAAAGGATGACAAGTCGGTCCCATAACTGACTAAACAGTTATCTGAGGAGGTAAATTGAACTTTGATTAAGGATGTTTTTACTTGAACTTCAATTTGCTGGTCTGATCTGATCTGGTCTGGTCTGGTCTGGTCTGGTCTGAACTGGTCTGGTCTGGTCTGGTAAGGTCTGGTTTCTTTATATTTTTATAACTATCCAAGTCTGGTCTGGTCTGAACTGGTCTGGTCTGGTCTGGACTGGTCTGGTCTGGTCTGGTCTGGGGCAAATTACAGTCCAAGTAAAAACATCCTAAAACTAATGTTTGATGACTTGGTATTACAAATGGGTTCTTTCTTTCCAAATGCCAAAAGATTCTAAAAGTAGATGTTTGACATTTTTCGGTTCTTTTTTTTAGGGTGGAGGGTGGGAGTGAGCCTCACAACTAGGCATGGACCGGTCCTGGGCGGTCTTTTTGGGTTTGGCTTCGGGCCCGAAACCGGCCCGGGTTTCCGCCGGGCCGGTCCCCGGGCTTCTTCAATTTATTTTTTTTTGCTTTTCTAATAAACCCCCGAGCCCCTCACCCCCATCCCCCAAACCCCCTCAAAACACTCAGCTCAACCCGGGAAAAACAAAAAAAATGAAAAAAAAAACGAACCGGGCCCGGCCAGTTCCTATTTTTGATGACCCGAGCCCGCCCTCTCTAACCTCCGAATTGGGGCCTGCCCGGACCGATCTCTGGCCGGGCCACCGGGCCGGGCCGGTTCCAAACAGTGCCGGGCCACGGGCCGGCCAGCCCGGAACTGGTCCACCACTACTCGCAACTAGCTAGTCCAATACCAAAATTTGACTGTATCGACCTTATTTTGAATTCTCCAAAGGTGAGATATGATTCTTGTGAATTAAAATTGAAATAGCTGTTCCATTTAACACTATGAAAGGGTTACATAAGTTCTTCCATCTCCAATCCATTACTTAAGCCTTTGCACTAAAAACCTATCATATAAGTACGCATACTTTATAAAATTAATCATTTTAATCATTTAATCAGTTTTTGACCTGTTATAGCAGGTTTTTAATATTTAAAAACTCTAAAAATTTGTTAGAGTTTGAAGAAATATGTACAAAAATTGTGAAAATTTTCAGAATATCAAAGTCAATATTTCTTAATATTTAAAAATATTTGTATATTCTAAATCTATTTAAAAGGTTTTGAATTTTTTTTTATTTGTTTATTTTCACTTTATTTTTTCTGTTTTATGATTTTTTTTATTTTTTTTAATGTTTTTAAAATTTTATCTATGTTTACATTTGTACTATTTTTATATTATTATTAGATTATTTATTCAAATTTATGTGATTTTTTGTAAGATTTTTCAATATTTCTTATTTATTTATTTTTTAAAAAACCTACTATAGCAAGACAAATGGCTTGGTTAATTGTATTTAAAAGTAGATGAAATTATATAATACTGTTTAGTACAGCGATTTAAGTGACGGATTCAAAATAGTAGAAATGACTTATTTGAGCTTTTTCCCCATCCTCATATCCTAGATTTCATTCTTAAGTTAGCATCACCTTAGTGATTATAAAAGAGCAAACTATTATTGTGCATTTTTCGTAATTTGACTTGTGCTATCTCATTCAATCGATAATTTTCTATTCCTTACATGCTTAAATGCTTAATGTTTGCATGATAATTAGTTGTTATTTATGTTGTCATTGCATTTTTTTTATAGTATCGTAAATTCAGTCAATAACGGAGTATAATCAGTATAATCCGTCAATGATACGAAGTACTTGCTCCCATTTGAAATCTGACAACACAACGGTCCTCCATTATTAAGATGTTTTCTTTTGGATTGTTTTCGATCCTAGACCAGATCAGACCAAATCAGACCAGACCAGACTAGACTTGCGTAGTTATAAAATACACAGAGACCAGACTTTTACTAGATCAGACCAGATCAGACCAGACCATCAAATTTCAGTCCAAAAGAAAATATCTCTCGAGAGTGAAATTTATATTCAATGCAAAATGCTCAGTCAACAAGGTACTGTTATAATCAAATCTTAAGTCATGCAAGTAACTATTTACAGCAAATCTCATATTCTACTCATCATGAACTATGGGGCTATTTATTTAGAACTTAATGAACTAAATGGGGATGGGAACTTAGCCATTCAGCTATAAAGGTGTGTTTATTTGCAACTTAACAAAAAACACAACTTATTCGCTCAGACAAATATTAACTTATTCATTCAGCAAAAAAAGTATACTCCTTCCGATTCAGCGCTAACCGAAATGCTTTCTCTATTTTAACCCTAAATAACATTTCGCTCCTTTGAACGAGTTTCTCATCGTCATCATACGCAGCAGAGGCGATCATCTTTTCCTGAAGCAAAAGTACCTAAAACCGGCCTCTACCATCAGGTATGTCTCAGGATTTCACCTCCACCATTCTTCCTCAAGATTGATGCATCTTATTTTCTCTCTCCTGTCGGTCAAAAATCTGGCATTGATGGTTTGTCAACTTTATTTTCATTTCTATTTCAAAATTTCCATGTATTCTTTTTAGGACATTTTTACTAATTAAATATGTTTTCTGCCTCCGAAAAGAATAGATAAAAATTGTAATTGATAAATGCTTGCAATAATGTATACCTCCAGAAAGAATAGATGAAAAGTGTAGTGCGGATGATAATTACCCATGGTATTCCCTTAATGTATACTTTTATGGGAATAATCATCCACATCAGTCCCTTAAAGTGGATTGAGCGTATGAACATCTCCAATTTATGAGAACTCTTAAATCGTGATTGGATTTTTGCAAACTTTTAGTTGCTGTAGTTTTTTTTAAATTGTTAGTTGTTGCAGTTTTTTTAAATTGGTAGTTGCAGTTTTCTCAAAGTGGTATAGCAGCTTCTTCATACATAGTTTAGTAGTTAGTTTTCTCCATTTTGTGGGCATAATGAGCTTGTTTGGGTAGGATTCGTTTACTTCCTAAACGCCTTTTTTAACATTAGAAAATGCTGCAAAATGCAGCGTTTAGGTTGTGAACCGCGAAATACAAACAGGGCCAATATATATACATTCACAACATTGTATTGAGAATACTTTATGCATTTTTTAAGTTGCACAGTGTCTTTTTTCTGCGTTTCTTAAGAAGAGGTATACCACTAGACACTAATACGAGTAGTAGTTATATTGATCCGGATGAAAAATGTTCACTTTTAGTTTAAAATTTGTCGTTTTCATACACTATAATTTGTAGCAAGTTACTTCTCCAGTTTTTTCATACACAATGTTAGATGTGATTTAATACATAATTTTGGTATTCGTTTTAGGATGGGGGATGTGGATATTTTTTGTGGAAGGAAGATTTGTCATGCTCAAAGTCAAGGCAGCAACAGAATGAAGTTGAAACATGTATCACTTGTTCAGGACTGAAATCATATGCACTTGAAGAGCTAAGGACATTGATTTTATATGTGTGAAGTGTTTTTTGTTTTTGATCTCATGTGTGAAGCGATTTAGAAATGGTAAAAGCGGTTGTCCAGAATGAAGAAAAACAAAAGCAATTTTTGTAGAGAACCTCTCAAGTATTTGTACTAGGTTTTTTTTGCTACTTTTATGGTAAATTGTAATAGTTGTCATAAATGAATGATGTAATCTCTCGTTGAATACTTGTTGTACCTGTAGTCCTGTACTATTCCATCCATGTATAAATGTATTGTTGTGTTTATTTATACTAGTATGCTACATGTATGGTTGTTGCAGTTTTATCAATGGAATTAGCTTTAAATATTAGTTTGATGTATACAAATGGATCATTAATGTCATCATGTGTCTAAAAATGAACAGAGTGTTTTATGAATAGGGACGTGTTTTCGATATAATTCTTGACTTCTATTTATCATGTAATATGACTCTTTATTTAAGTAATTTATAGTATTATTATTTTTAGACATATAAAATTATCTTTCAGAAAAGTAAACAGAAAATATACATTTAACACTTAATCGAGACATAAGGGTTATTTGGTCATTTGATATGATTCAGACTTCTCATTCAGCACACTTAGTAAACAGTGTGTTATCTCAGTGTCACTTAATACAAACAGACAACTTAATACACACAAATGTCTTAATGTATTAAAACAACTTAATGTCTTAATACAGCCCCTATGTGTCCAATTAGTGAACTCAATCGATGATGAATCGTATCATTGGAGACAAAGTCGAACTTGATAGTTGAATTTTATACACATCCAAAACATGTCATAGTCGAATACATTTTAGTGCTTTGTTGGCAAACCATTAAAAATGTGATTCCCAACTTTTAGCTTAAAAAACTAAAAATAGTATTCTCAAGTGACAAATTCTATTTCAATTAATACTTAAAAACTAAAATCTAGAATTTGTTTTTTACTTTTTTCTATTACTAAAAAAACACTTATTTTACCAAACACTACTGACTTTTACTTTTCAAAATCAGTTTTTTCTCAATCACTACTGACATTCATGTAATTTCTTTGTTTATGTTCGTGTTTTTAATTAGTTT